TTTTTTTTATCACGATATTATTTTGAAGCTTGTTTTTGTCGAATACGCAATCGTTCTAATGAATCACCTTTTAAATTCTGGCGTCTTGTATTATCACGATTACGAGACTTTTGTCTCATTTGTTCAAATTTTGATTTATTTTTTGATAAATTTATAGGATAGAGTTTTTGTCTTTCAGCATTTGATTTAGCCTTTGGTTCAGTAAAAAATTCAAAAACCTGCTAGAAATCTCTCAAAAATAATGCTTCGATGCTGTTTTACAAGGTATAAGGTTGAAATTATTATTAGAATCAAACGCTATTAGCTTAATTGAAGCTATAGTCAAATTAGATTGATGGTTTAATTTGAACCGTTATTATCAATGTAGGCCAATCAATTATCTGCTCATGACAATTAATTTATCAAGAATCAGTTACAGAATCTAATAATGATGACTTATAGTGATCTTTGAATGCAAATCTCTACTTGCAAATGCTCTTTTTCAGATGAGAGAAACATAAGAAAAAGTTGAAAAAAAACGTCATCGCATTACGTATAACTGTTATAAAACGGAACCTTGTCCAAATAAAAATATATGCATTAGATAGCCCGTAAGAAGTTAGCTTCAGGTATATAGTTCTTATAAAAAAATAATAGCAGCTATCAATAGGTAGGCAAAAACAATACTCATGTTTTCGTTACGCGATGACGTTGTAAATATGGTAGTTTTGGGTTGAGTGGCTAAAAGCAAGGATGAGAATATAAAAAGTAATGATTAAGCAAATAGATACTTCTAATAACATAGACTTAATTAGTCTTAATCAACTCTTCATATATCAAGACCACATCAATATATGGGTTCAATTGATTGACGGTCCAGATAGATGAGTTTTGGTCATCTGCTAGTAACATCTTTGTTACAAGTTTTCAAACGCGATATGAACCGCTTATTAATGATATAAAATATGTTTTCATACACTTTCGACTATTCTCTACAAAATGGCAATAATGATTTCTTGGGATATTGAATTCGAACTCCCGATCATTGAGGTTACACGTTACGCGTACAAGCTGATATTTAGATTTACTCTTAAACGTGTTGTTGGCCCAAATGATTATGATATCAGTTAACAACTCAACAAGCTCTACAAATTGGCAACGCTAAACTTTAAAAGCGATTTATCAGTTCGTTGCCTTCTATCGTAAGTGTCAGTGAAGTCACTTTAAAGCAGTTTAGAGTTGATTATCTACATATCAAAAAATTGCATAAATGGGCAGACGACGCAGGCAATTTCTTCTCACATGCAACTCCTGAAGCTGAAAAAAGTGATTTGTAAGACAGTGAGTTTCTGCTACACTATTGTCCTTTACATAACTAATGTGCTATATTGTGTAAGTTGGTATCGATTTATTGACTAAGGATTATAGTGAGATGCAAAAAGGTAAAGATATATTGGGCGTGTCCAACCGACATGAAGTCCCATTAATATTTCTTTTGATACAGCCTTATTGTAAGGATAAAACCCCCTATTGTCCGGGTCATATGAGAGAGAATCTCATATGACCCGAATAATAGTGTGTTTTATCCTTACAATAGAGATGTATCAAAAAGAAATATTAATGGGGCTTCATGTCGGTTGAACACGCCCATATGTGACCGAGTTTGTGGAGTAGCTAAGGATTGAATGCGTTCATAGATAACCAGTGGAAATAACTTGCTGAATGCACATGACATAAAACAAGGAATGAAACATGCTGGTGGAATCAAAAGTACTAAGATGGCCATGGCAGAGATGTATACCGGGTGCTGGTGTGCACATCATTAACTAATAATGAGTTTCTTTTCCATCTGTTTTCTATTTCAAGGTCATTTGAACAAAACCAATGTGCCTAATGTCTCATCAGTACAATTCATCCGCGTTGGACTCCACACCATGAAGATTTACAAAGTTTCCGATATTGTTGGTGGACTCTCCTTGTCAGGAGTAATACCAACAAGGTATGAAGTCTCTGTTCTAACCTTTAAATTCACCTTTAGTAAAAAGTAGGATAGTGGATCAAACATTGAAATGGACTCACACATTGCAACTAATCAACACAGTATTCCAAACGATACTTCTCAAACAGCAAATGACATCACTCAAATTCATTTAACCGAGATCTTACCATCGAAATCAACACAATTCCATAGAAAAGCTAAAGCTATTCTTCAACATCAGAATACTTCTACTTATGGTCTCTCATTATAATTTCTTCTCATCTTCTGACTAAACGCTACGAACATGCAAACTCAGGAAACTAATGGGTGAAAAAGTGAAGACTTTTATCGAATAAATTTGGCTCGATCTGATATACAAAAACTCGAGAATCACGCCTGGAAAAATTCAGCAACAAATACGCACAAAGTTAGACCATGATGGAGTCAAGCTCTTTCAAACGTTGGATTACCCTACAAAAGATCAAATCAAATGTTGCTTTCGAAAGTTGAATGAAAAATATGGCGTGACCATCAAACAGGAAATTATTGTCGAAATCATTGACAAGAACATAGAATCACAGTAGTTTTGTTAAACTCATCTATCTACTACTTCATAAGCTCATTATAAAGTGTTCAGCTAATTCTGTTCGTGGGTCGTTTTTTATTACTCTTATAAAAAAAAGAGTCGTAATACATACGCTCAATGTACACTCTAATAAAAAATTCGTATTCTCGAAAGCCCAATTCAGCTCAGAAACCCTTTCGGAAACCTTTCGGTTTTTGAGAGTACCGATTTCGACTTCCGTAGGGTATTCTAGAATATCTTTTTACCATTATCCGAAACCTAATTAGTATTTTCGGAAATCGATATGGTATTTTAGGGAACCGATTCTCTCCTAAAAGTTGCTTGGGTATCCTAATAGGTATCCGAGAATACTTTTTCGATTTTCGAACCATTTTATTGGAAACTCTTTAGGTTTTCGAGCTTTCTAGAACTTGAAAAGGTTTAGTAGAAAATCGAAACCAAACTCCGAATTTTGCTTCACTAGCTGACACTTTCTACAGCTTGGAGACCTTCACAGCGAGTTTCCAAAAAATGTTTTAGAGTTAATAAATTTTACGAATGAACAAAATTGGTGTTCTAAGTACATTTTCGGATCATGTTTCTGTTCTTTGTTTCAGAAATTCTTAGAAAATTGAAAGCATTCAGAGCTTTAATGCAATATGTTTGATTATAAGTGTGCAATTCATAGCATTCAAATATTTATTTTAATCTGGAACTTTTTTCGTTCTTCAATTATTTTTAACATTATCAATACATCCTTAATTTAATCTAATCTATAGATGCATGAAAAACTTTAATCGTTCTATTTTTGTGACAAGTACTGAGACACAAGCTTAAAATTGTTATATCAGTCTGGTTTTTTAATGGAATTTAATAGAATGCGGATAAAATTTTATTATTTTGTTTTTGAAAGATCAGTCAAAATAACAATGATTGATGTTTCTACCACTGAAAAGTTGTGATAATTAACATCTTCACAGAAATTATTGAATTAATTGGCATAAATTACAAGGAAAAAATTCACGTCCAGCGAAATGCTTGAGAAGGATATTATCGTTCGAATTCCATCTAAACAATAATTCTTTCTTTTCTGTATTTGTGTAAAGAGTTTTATTTCTTAAATGAGAAACAACAACAATCAAATAGTATTTCAAGAGTTTTTAAAGGATACAATATTGAACTTCAAGATAAACTTTCACCATTTGTTAATCAACTTGAAGAAACAACGAATAGCAATACATTAGATTTATATGAATCTGAAAATAGTGATCATGATTTAATCGTTGTTACTGAAGGAAAAAATAATTAAGTTACACATGATGAATCTTCAATTTCAACCCCTCACCCTCATCCTGTTATTCGTCAAAATGCTTACAAAAGAAAAGCAAATCAATTAATTGATCCAGAAAATATTGGTGAAGAAAATGCACTATCAACAAAAAAGATAACTAGATCTACTAGACGAAAAAGACGTTGTAAATTATGACGAAACAATAAAAAAAAGAAAGAAAACTTTTTGATCATCTTTCTCTTTCTCTATTAATCTTACCAGATTATTGCTTTTCATTGTTTTTCTTTTTAAAAAGATTGTAATTTCTTTTTTCTTCTCAGCTATTTTCGCTCATTATGGATTCATTCAGAGAGTTGAATTTTATTACTGTCTTGCATACATTTCGCCGTGAACTTTCTTATTATAACGTAGTGAAAAACATTTTTCATATTCTTTTCCTTTAATATATACTTGATTTGAAAAAAGATTTAGAACATTCGATACCAATACAATATTTGCTTAAAGTCACACATATGTTGGAAATTTACATCAACAACAATTTGATGGTAAGTAGTTCTTATAAAAAAAATTAATTTTTCTTTTCTGATTTATTTAGATTAACATCGTATCAATCGATATTATTGATTGGTTAATGTTCCAAATAAAATTAATTTTTCTTTTTTGTTTATTTAGATCGACATCGACATCAACATCAATGGATATTACTGGTAAGTGATTCTTATAAAAAAAATGATTTTTCTCTTTTAGTATATTTAGATCAACATCAACGTCTATGGATATTACTGGTAAGCCAATATTTAAAATAACCTCTGTTGCAAAAGTCTTTAGACAAAATGTCTATTCATTTTTCAGCAGCCTAAACGTCATTAATGAGAATCAAAAGTAGTTAGCTAAAATCAGATTTTTGTGCTCTTTTCGAATATCTGATCAGAATATTTCACTGACTAAATATTGATTAGGGACAAGCCAAATGTTTGACCGAGTCGAAAATGATGTTCGTACAGAATTTTATTGGATGTATTTTTGTATTTTGATCGATATCTACTCTACGCAAAACATGAAAGATATTTTCATCAGCCAATTTTATAGAGCGAAGTTTGCTCTACAAACTATGCTATTTAGTTTGGTTTTCTATCTCGAAACAAATACATGCAATCTGTTGTATTATAAATAGAAGATCTTGGAAAACTGACTTTTTGGCAGGATTCTATTTTACGTACCAATCAGTTCTCAAAAAAACGTCTACAACCTTTTATTCATTTGAGTTGAAGCCTATTGTCATATATGGTTTTATAGAGAATTGAATGCTCTACAAATTGCAAATTTCGAACTGCTTCAAAATCCAACTTCCATAAGTAATGAATAGCGGGAAAACATGTGTTTTCTTCGTCGAGATGTCATTCTTTGCCTCTTTCAAGTATTAACTTACAGCTAACCAATCTTAAGCTAAAGAGATATCCTGAACACATATCAGAAAAGAGCAAATAAGACTGACTCTAAGGATCTACTTTTGGTTCGTATCAAATACTTTTAGCGGCTGAAAGATGAACAAACATTTGCAGAATGACTTTTTGTACAGACATCATTTTTCACTTTGTCAAACATTTGGCCCATTTCTAATCAATGTTAAGTCAGAGAAATATTCTGATCAGATATTCGAAAAGAGCACAAAAATCTGATTTTAGCTAACTGCTTTTGATTCTCACCAATGACGTTTAGGCAACTGAAAAATGAATAAACATTTTGTCTAAAGACTTTTGCAACAGAGGTTAAAATTAATTGTTCTTTTATGAATTATTTAGATTAACATCAATATTAATCAATATTATTGGTACGTGATTCTTATTGATATCGGCAGTGCTAGTGGAAAGAAAATTGGACAGGCTTCTCGAAGATTCATGGACTTTCTGCGAGTTACATGGTACAACAGAAATTGTACTGGAACGAAACGAATTCAATTTTTTAATTTGCTCGAAAACTGTTAATCCGTCTCCGAAGCTAGGTTTTTATCGCTGATGAAATTATCTAATGTAGGGTTTCTGAGACCCTGAAAACCCTTGTTCAAAAATCCTTAAAAGGTTTCCGATAGTAACAAATTCGGAAACCCAATAAGGATTTCCAAAAATACGGATTATTTTTAGAGTGTGATAAAGTACCTTCATAGCTGCTAGCAAAGCAAAATAATGATGCGTTGAAAGAGGCTGTTATAGACACATCTAATGCGAATGGCGGTGTTAATAAAGTTAAAATAATAGTAACTGAGAATCGTCTTTGCATCATAAACGAGAAATATAAAGAAGAATAAATAAACGCACACCACAACTCTCTTAATCTCCACTTGTTACCTTCCCCCCCCCCCCCAATATACTCTCGTAAACTGTATTAACGTGCAGATTTCCGAAAATTTTAATAGAAAAGTGAAAATCATCGCTAATGTACTACTATCAACAGTAGACTACATATTTATAGGTAAGGTGTCCGACTAAATATTCCTATTTTTCTTTTATCTCGATGTAGTGAATTTGAGATACAAAGATAGGAATATGATCGTCATGTTATCCATCAAAAACTATCTAGATCTGATAAATAGGAAAATATATTGATTTTCTATTCATCATCTTTGCAATTCGATCGAATGATAATTATCGTCAAAAATAAGTATCGAGCATTTAGTGGAATATTTAGTGAAGATATGATATGTATGATCAAAGATCGAATATTTCTATTATCTCTGCTTATTTTTTTCTCATTTAGATTTTATTAACATTAAAATTACAACAACAATTCTCTTGTGATCGACAAACATCCTGGCTTGTCCAAACATAACGCTGTGACATTTTTGATATATTCTTCTTGAATTATCTCAGAAGATTTAAGAGCTAGAAAGTTTATTCAGATGCCATTTCATGCAACTTATCAAACTCTATTTATCTTATAAGAATGGTCTATTTTTGGCTGAAGTCTTGAGCGTCTAGAAAGGTTTTATTATCATGTAATGCTGTGACATAAAAAGTCCCTTTTTCTCCAGTGACGCCGTGAACATCCTGATTTCTTGCTAAATGATTTGCCCAAATGAAATGTTCATAGAACCAGTCTTGTAGAATATTGAACAGGTTTTGGGGAAATAAAAAAGATCTTCTCTACAGCATTTTTCGCTCAGATGAAAAATGTAAAAAAAGCAAATATAACACTGTGACACAGTTTTTTTGTCAATCAGTTTTAAGACATTTAACATGCTCAGAATGTTTTGATTTTTAAAAGTGTTAGTCTTTGCTGTGAAGTTAATCGTTCTAGGCAAGAATGAGATTGATACATCGACATGAGAGCTTATAAACTGAACGATAAGTTTGAAACTACACAAGAGTCTACAAGTTGTCGTTCGTTACGAAGATCAAAACTAAATTGGCCATTTTGTCGAAAATGAAATTTTGCATCGAAGGGTATGTGTCTTGACATTTTTTTTAAATCTCTTGGTTAGAAAATTCAAAATACGATTTTTGAAAAGTTTAAAACCCAGTTTTCGATGCCAAAATCTGTTTTTTTTTACAAAATAAATACCAAATTCGTAATCAGCGTTAAAAACTGCAACCAGTAACCGATTCAGATCTGTCCAACTCGAAAAAAAACATTTTCAAAACTCGGTCAGCGAAGTATCATGTTACGTGGGCAAGCCGTACCACTTGTTAACGTAAAATATTGATGACAAAACATCAATAATTTTGGCATCAAATATCAAGAAGAAAATTTAAATTTATAAAGACGGAATTGGTATCTCATCGGGTAAGAATCGAATCATTATCCTATTCTTTGAAATTCTTTTGTCTTCTAAGGAATATTTAATTAAAGAAAAATAACAATCAGAAGAATGTTTGATGCGATTGTGACAAGATGAAGTTAAAATGAATATAACGTATCTTTATCGTCAATAACATGTTCATCGGATGAAACAATCAAAAAAGATTTTCTCCAGTTGCGTCCAGTTCGTTAGTAACAAAATTAATAAGTATTAAAGAATGTATACGTTGATTTAATCTTTCACAGCGATGTGAGCCACTGGTGGCTCAGGATATATTTTAACCACAAGAATGATGAAAAAGTAGATTTTCTTCTTTTTTTCCTAAACAGAAAGGGGCAATTAGTCCTACAGTTACTCCATCTTTGTCACTAGTTGATCTATTTTATTATTTAGAAAAATGCTTTTCATTAAAATAATCAAGACAAAAGAATTTGTTGCAGTTAGGACAGAAAGTTTTTATTCTCTTTGTTACCATCGCACTTCCTTCTCTTGATTGTTGTTGCTTAATCTTCTCATAACAACCAAAACATCGTCTTCGGACATCGCGTGCAGATCTGATTCTCGTATGACACACCAAGAAGTAAAGATTGCACAAGACTTTCACGAAACTGTAGCATTGTCATACGGCTTGTGTCATAATTTTCTTTGTGAATCAAATAAGCATTCACTATTTACACTCCAAATATCAACTCAAATGTCACCCTTTGACATCACTTTTTGGACCATCTGAGGCATGTATAGTATGTTGATAACTGATCATATAAATCTATACTATGTTTTCCTTTATTATAATCGACGATAACTTGTGGCTTCATGATACGTGCATTTGCTTTATTGGTTTCTCCGGTGTCTATCAAAGTTGCTGAATGTGATGGCTTTGTAGATATCATCAAAACATGTCTTTTATCTTTCCACTTGATTAGTTTTATACCATTGTTGCTCTGGAGCCTATAAACTTCACCACGCTTGAACTTTTTCTGAAGGGTATCCTCTCATTTGCGAACATACAGTCGAAAATTCAAAGTTTATTAAATTAAATTATATTTCATTTTTCAATTAATTTGAATTTTTCCTATTAAAAGCGATTAAAAGTGTCAAATTTTCCATTTTTAATTCGTTAAAACTCATTTCTTCAAAAAAAAAACTCCGAAAATTAAAATCGTTGCTTTTATTAATTAGTATTTTTTACTGAAACGAATTTTAACAGCCATTTTGTTTGAAGAATTGAAATTTGTAGAGTTCGCTCTTGTTTTCTATATTATTTCTACTATTTCTATACTTTTTTTTGGGAAGATGTAGAGCTCGCTAGTGCTTTCAATACAATTTCTATCTATAAATTTAGGAAGATGTAGAGTTCGCTTGATATATGCCTGCAGGGTTTCGATGTATTCTGCTCTTATTAGTAGAGTGTGCTAAACTACGTAGTGCTCTTCTTCTTTTTCTAAATTGAGTCTCATATTTAGAGTTCATTGGACCGAATTACCGATATGAAGGACATAAGCCTGTTTTTGTATGGGAACTCTCTGTAGTTTCCATACTATAACATAAGATAAACAGTCCACTGAAAAGAAACTAATTGGAACCCAAATATATAATTATTCAACAACAAAACTGTGGAAACAATGTAAACAGCACAAGATTTAGGTGTTGGTATTAGAGTTCTCTTCAAACAAGCGTCAATCGAGGTCACACTTTGAATGGATATTGAATCATGCTTGTGAAACATGAGAGAAACACTTCAAAGCTCCCTTCGATTTTCATCCAAACTTTGTTTTTTTTCGCCCCTTGCTCGAGCTATATTAGGGTTCTTTTTTCAATATAAGAATTAAGCATATCACCTTCCAAAAGGTGTTCCTGATTAAGATTAAGATTCACAGTACTTAAACTAAGTCTATGATCCAGCTACGTTCCAAAAAAGTTTTTATAAAAACTCTCTCGCGCTCAACCTATTTCAGTGACCTTGTTTAAAATGCGAAAAGATTTCATTGGCGTTTTTTAAAACAATTTCTTCGATAGTATACCTCACTTATAAAATCTTCTTTTTGGCCAAGCAGCAAAATTCATAATTAATTCAGAGCTGATAAAACCTTTTGAATCAAATACCTTGAAATGTGAAACAAATTTTCTTTCGCTGCCATGTTCTTACACTGATCTTCCAAAATGAGAAGTGACACTCTCAAACCGCATTGGCTTACCTTCAAACAGACTACACGCGACACTTCTAAATCTTTTTTACATTCAGTTAGTTTTATGCTGGATTTTCTAGCGGACTCTACAACTTCCTGAGCTAAATGTTAAATTGCATTGAAAGCACTAGGGAACTCTACATCCTTCTAAACTAAAATATAGAAATTGCATTGAAAACAGTAGCGGACTCTAGATCTTCCTAAATTTATAGATAGAAATTGTATTGAAAACAGTGGCGAACTCTACATCTTCCTAAATCTATAGATAGAAATTGTATTGAAAACACGAGCGAACTCTACATCTTCCTAAATCTATAGATAGAAATTGTATTGAAAGCAGGAGCGAACTCTAATATCTTGCTAAATTCGATGCGATCTCAAGTTGAAAGTGAAAATTTTCAAATAGAAGTATTCATCAACAATAACTTGAAAATTAAATTAATTTAAATTTTATTGTTTACTGAATTTTATAACCTTCATAGTATTTTAAAATTTTATTTGACTTATGATCGCAAATGAGAAGTAGCCTTTCTGAAGTACTTCACGGCCTGATCCATCGCGATTGCTTCTCAATGTTCCAATAAGATAAGTGTCATTCCGCAATAAACTTTTTGCAAGAGAAATACTTGCAAACAATTTGTGCGTGTCCCAGACAAGCCGCTGCATGCTGCTTACCAATATAAACCATAAAATTCCAGATGTATCCTTTAGTAGCCGCTAGCTGGTATATCTTGACGCCATATTTGTGCGCTTTTCCAGGAATATATTGTTTGAACAAAAGTCTCCCTTCCCATAGTAGCATTGTTTCGTCGATAGAAATAATTGCCTAAAAGTGGTTTCAATTTGAACAATCTATTTTGCTCCGCATGCTCTTCTTGGTTGTTCGAAAAATGATAAAATTTGAGAAGTAATTCAAATCTATCTTTCGACATTGTATTTTGAATGACTTCAGATCCAAACAACTTGCTTTTGCTCCAGTAGTAATCTATTTCTGGCATTTGCACTAATCCAGTTTCAATAATAATTCTCAAAAATTTGATCATTTCTTCATTAGTAGTTGATTTCCATTGAAGAGTATTCGATCGTTTGGTAAGCTTCTGAATTTCTACGTGTTGTTCTGCATATCTATTAGTTTCACGAACCATGAGACTAATAATCTCATCAATGATGAAATATCGATAGCAATCAATAGGATTGATTGTACTATCCTCTGAATTTACCGATACTTCTTCCACCATTCTATAATCCTTTGAAAATTCAGCATCCGAGCCTGATTTTATTTTGCCCCAGACTTGTGAATCCACATCATCATCTGTAACTTGTTCCTCGAAGCTTGACGATTCAAATTACATTCTAGCAAACTCATCATCCAAAGAACTCACATCACTCAGTGAGTTACCGCAGTCTTCTGTATCGGTTTCTTCAAACGGAACATAAATCAGCGCAAAATTTCAGTTGTTTATATGTAAGTTTTGTGTGTAGTTAGTGGAAGTGAGTTCAGTTTATTGGGATATATATAGAGAGAGAGTAGTATAGAATAGAAAAGAGAAAACGCACTTGGATAACCTGAACGTATACGAAGAACAAAGAAAAATAGAGTATGTACCTATGTGTGATGATGTCATATAACAGCGATGGTAATGAGAGAGGACAAGAAAGAGGTCATAACATCACCCAACAGAATCAAAGATAATATTGCGAAAAGAATGTAAAAGAAAAACATTGAAATTTTGTTTCTTTATTTCGTACATTGAAGCTATTTTCCTCGGAAAACCGAATCGCCATGAAAGAGTTAAAGTACCATACCTATTCGTATTTTGACTGCTAAACGCTGAAGAGTTCTG